GCTTGAGTGGCATTGGTGCCATGATGGCCTGTTCGCCACTTGTCGCCGCGAACTCCACGTGCCGACGGGCTTCGCGAGGCTCCCGCGGGCTTGGTGCGACCCTGTTTCCTCCCATGCCAGGCATCGGCTGGGCGGCGTCATCGCTGGCTGCGCCTGAGCGCTGTCCCACGCTGTTGTTTTGTGTTGGTGTGCCGGACGAGATGACGATCGGCTCGTCCGATTGTGCAGATGCATTTGTTGGTGCGTGTGGTGCTGCTAGAGTGTTCACCGTTGATTGCTAACGCGCGGAGTCACGTTCCGCTGTAAGCATCGCAATTTCGAGCGCCGAATCTTCGAGTTGGCGCACCAGACGGTCGAGTTGCTCCTGCGTCAATGTGGCGAGCGTGAATTTGGCTATGGCGGGGGTGTCGGGCGAGCTCAGCGAGAGCCTCAATCGTGGCCTTGCGTGCTTACGAGAGAGCACTACGAGCGGCGGTGCTGTGTCGCTGAGGGATGTCTACCCCCCCCAAAAATTGAGATAGTGGGGAAGCGAAGGTGTGGGTGCGGTCCGAGAAGAGGTCGTAGGCTCTGATACCAAGTGTTACGAGTGCAATTGAGTGAGCGAACGTGAATTGCACTATCGAAGCAAGATTACAATGAGCGAAGGTATGAGCGAAGAATATATAGCGAAACTACAGTGGTAACGGTAATGGACTGTGGTTGTCGCGTGACGGGCCTGGGACTGAGGTTGGGAGAAGTGTCGAAGCGGAGGCCCGGAGCGCGGGTTACTCGCCGAGCCGTGAGGTCGGGGTGCGACGTGCGAAGATGGCGGGCGGATTGTTGATGCGAGGATTGCGAGTGGTAACGGTGCTGACTATGGTGCTACAGTGATGTACGCGTTGAGCAGAGATGCGAAGTAAGGAAAAGGGATTTTCCTTACAATAAACAACTTTTCCCTTAACATAATTGCACTCGTGGCCTTGTGCTGTTGCCGTTGACAAGGTGTCAGCATCAACCTACATTTACTGCAAGCAACGTCATCTTCTTGTGAAACATTAGTATGCACTAGTCAATACAATGCAAATGGGACATATCATGTATTCAGCAGATGTGTGAATGCCACAGACAAGCAACTCAATTGTGTAGCTCTGTGAATGCATTCCCACTAGTCCTTGTTCTTGAAATGCCAACCTTACAGGGGTCCTCTGAGAGCTCCTGGGTCACACCGAGACAAAAAAATGCGCCAAAGTCCAGTTTTTCATCGCATATTGGCCGGGACTCCTTTTCGGCCCCCCCTATGGTACACCACCCGAGTGTAGACCTGGTGTACCTTTAAAATTGGACTGCATATAGACACGGGCCAGTACAGCTGCAGCCTGAGAAGGGGTGAGGGCAAGGATACGTGTGAGAAGGTGGCTGAAGCTTTGGGAATGTTCTGTGGCTGCACAACCAGTAGTACATGACACCATATCAGCCAGAGCATTGTTGGGATGCGCGAGGTTCGGGGACATGAGGTTCGGAGGCTCTCCTGCGGGAGGCTTGGCGTCTAGAGGATTAGTGTCAAGAGATGCGGAACTGGGTGCCACAGAGGTGAGAGGCGCAGTTGTCAACCAAGCAAACGACGGCTTGCCAGACGAGGCATGATCAGCGAGTTGTAAAAAAGCAGACGGTTCCGACGCATTTGCTGCTGTTGTCGGTAATGCCGCCGATGATACGAGTGACAATGAGAGAGGAGGGATCGGAGGAGCCGCATCAGGAGGACGGGAAGCAGGAGCGGAAGCACAGGCTTCTGAAACGGGTGTTACTACACCCGTGGAAGAGGAGGGTGTTAAGACTGTCGACGCAGTGGGTGTCCCACTGGGCAATGCGGAAGCAGTGGCCAGGAAAAGGGAAACGTGAGACGGGGGCAGGCGAAACGTGGATAACAGTCGAGGGACACCACCGCCCTCTTCCCGATAAGCATCCCGAGGAGCGTCCCCTCTTCCCAATTCAATATCGAGTTTGCGCGTTTCTTCCCCTAACCTTGCACCCTGCGCTGGCTGATCCAAGGCAGGGGTCATCCAAACGTCGAGCAGACGGCTGGTTGCGGGCCCGACGGAGGGGCTATCATGATCCAGCACAGGGCTTGTTGACCTGTCCGTTAAAATCACACTGGTCTCGAGACTGGAGATGTTGCTGCTGCCACTGTGGTAACCACTGGGATAACCACTGCGCCGGCCATGATTGCGGCGGTAACAGCCCTCGTCGCTGCCGTTTTTGGCCTGAGAGCGAGGAGACGCGGATGGACCGAAGCTCACAGAGTCCTTCGCCGGGGGGCTCGGCGAAGCTCCAAATTCACCGTCGGAGAACGATCGTCGCATTCGCTTGCTCCTCTGCTGCTGCTCCTGCTGCTGTGGCTGCACTTGCTGCGGCGGCGGTTGTTGTGGCTGCGGTTGTTGCGCTTGCTGCGGCAACTTCTTCTGCTGCTGCTGATGCCGCCGTTGCCGCAAGGGTTCCACCTCCAGAGACTGGGGCCCGCCCGCCATTCCTGCGACAGAAGTAACGGCCCCTGCCGCCGCTGGCGGCGGTGTTTCCGCCGTCAGCTGCTTCCCCTTACGCTGGCCGGAGCCCACGCGGACGTTGCGCAGACACCCCCCCGCGGTCCAGTAGCGGTGGCAGGCCCGGCAAAAGTGACGCGGCTGGTTCACATTGTAGTTGTTGTAATAGCAGAACTTGGTGTCGCGGCTCGAACACCGCGGGCACGCCAGCGTCGCTGGCACTGGCGCCGGAGCCTGCGGCGGCGACAGCGCCGGCGGAAGCGGCAGAGTTGAAGGCGGGAGTTGTGCGGTCCGCTTCGGGGGATTGTGCGGTTTTGTCGGCGCCGGAAAGTCGGGGGTAGGTTGAGCAGCACGCATGGTGGTGGTGAGTCTCGTGGCGGATGGTAATGTGGCAATGTTTTCCGCGCCGCGGTCAGAAGGCGCGGCGTTATAATGTCGAGCGTCACTCGGCGACGAAGCGCCCGTGGACGGAGCACCCGACGGCACGAATTGCTCTGACGCCAAATTGTTAGCCGTTGGCTTTTGAATAGTCCGTCCGAATAGCCGGAATTCGTTAACTCCTTCCCTGGGAAGTAGCATACTGGCCGAGGCTCGGGAAGGACTTTGTTCGGCGGAAATGCAGAGAATCATGTTACGGGATACGGCCGCGTGCGCTGCCGCAGTGGTGGCTACCTACGGGAATTCAGGGTTCCGTAAGTGAAGTTTGTGGAATCAGGTACGTTGTTATCAGTCGGAGGAATAAACTAAGAAGTATGGTAATGTACGGAGAGGAAGGTTAGGACCTCGGACTGACTATTGCGCTGACTCAACGCTTCCGTATGACTTTAACCGTTGCGAGAAAGGACGGCTTGAAAGTGTGGGAGGATGTTGATTCTCATGGAGGCTGAGTTGACTCAGGTATCGGAGGAACATGATGCTGTACGTGAATTTGAGTTTTTTTTTAATTCGCCTCTCGAACGTTCTCATGAAGCTGCGATTATGGGTTCTCCTGATGCGACATACTACGTGGAGGGCAGCGCTGGGGCGAAGCCAGCCACAAGCATGCATGCAGTCATGCGCGCACACATAAGGACGCCTGATACAATCAGATGCAGTAAATGCAGCTTGAATGCGTGATCGACTGCGTTCTGGTCCTGGGAAAGGTAAGGCTAGCAACGCACACGGTGTATCTTGGAACAGAAGGAAGCGAAGCAAGGCAAGATTAGTCCCAAGAGAGGACTTGATTTTGCCCCATTCACGTGCTTGCTTCTCTCCTCGCCACTCAACTGCATTCAACGTGGGTGCAATCAAATGTCGCATTGGGGCTGAATGCGTCTCGAACCAGAGAAATTCACAGCTCGGAGAGGGGCACTTGCTTTTCGACACAAGCGAGCCGAGGCGATCCATAAAAATCTGTGCGACGGATGGAATGACGTGGATTTTGCCTGGCGGGAGGCCCTCCGCCGCAAATGAAGGTGGCTCTTGAATGGCTGTCAATGATGCCCCCACATTGAAGATTTTATAAAAGGGGATTAGCGGACGGAAACTAAACGAATTCTGGGCCACCACTCCGGCGACTCTCAACTGACAAACCATGATATTTTCTCTACACCCTTTTTTCTCACTACACTGAACTGTGCTGAACTGATGGAAAACCTAGTTACCTTCGATTTGTCTGATTAAACCATACCTAGACTTAATCTAACCACCGTTAACCGTGCTTTTCCCATCTTGACTTCACTATAACCGATTTCACTATGGCGAGAAAGAGGGTGTACCAACAACGCGGGCACAGCCAGTGTCCGTGCTGTACTGCCCGAACTTTGTCAGCCGAAAATGACCACAAACACAAACGGAAAGCACAATTCGAAATTCTTGGTGCTCTTTGTAACCGTGATAGTTTTGTCTCCTTCTGTGTACTGTATAGTAAATCACTTGCAGTCATCGGTTCGCTCCTCTCTGTAGAGCAGGGTTGCGTTTGAAAGGGGAAAACTCCGTTGACAATTGGTTCCTTTTTGCCACTTGGAGCATCGCTAGATAAGTAACGGCAATAGAGTGGCGAGTTTCATTATTTTGTTGCAAATAACTCGTTCGCCCTACAAAAATGCAAAAGGCTAGAAAATTAGGCCAGCATTCCTACGGGCAATCATGATGCATTTCATGATGCATGCGCATACAGGCAAACCACGTTTGTCGGAAATCGTTTGACTGTCGCAAATCGGAGTTCTGTTCAATGTGGACTTTCTCCCATCTGAACTCTTTACTGTACTGCAGCTTCTGGCGGGTATAAGTGAGTTCAAGGAAAGAGCGAGCCGAAGTTTACAACAGTTATCTTCCAAATGTTCAAAAACAATTGCAGGTGCAGTTTTTTTTTTTTTTTTTTTTTTTTTTTTTTTTTTTGATAATGTATGTATACACCATTGAGCAAGCATATACAAAACAAAACGGTCGTAACCGTGCGTGAGGAGATAGAAAAAACAAGTTTCCACTCCAGAGGGGATGAATCTAGGGCCTGATGGGTCGTGCCCTCCGATGAAGCCAGATTGCAGCGAAGCTGTTCGTCCACTTCCACTCCTTGCCATCCAGTTTGATCCTCTGCAGCATGTCCCGCTCATCCAAAACACACCGGTGATTCTGCTTCCGCCACGTCACCCCATTTTTCCGAGAGTACCGCTTGGCATGCTGCCGGAATGCGAACTCTATCTTCCTGAGAACCCGCTGCGTCCGAAACTTGCTGCCCCGAAAAACAGCATCACACCGCTCGAGCCATAGCTGATGAAACGTGATTGTCGTTAGCGTCAGCTCCGGGAAAGCAGAATTGGTGCCAGTTGCCCGGAACAGCAAGTCACCCAACGAGGTTATTGTGCGATTGGGGTTGAGCATGCTCAGCGCGCGCTTGAGGGCACTCGTGACCATTTGGATCCGCGGGCAGAGCACGAGACAGTGCTCCCGAGTTTCCTCCCCTCCACAGTACGGGCAGATAGGTTTGCTGCTGAGAAAAGCCAGGCGTTCCCCCACCTGCAGATTGAGACCGTGGATTCTCAGAAGCACATCCCTCGGACGACTGGGAACTGCCAGAGAATCCCTTGTGTCCACCGCTCTTTTCCAATCGATGCTTTCTCCCCATCTCGCCGCCCATTTCTCCCTCTTGTATGACTCCTTATTAAACCCCGTCCAGCACTCCCTCATCCGCTTCAAGGCAATGACCTGCCCGTTCTCCAGAATAGGCAGCTGGGGGGTTGAGTCAGCCGAGCGGGGAAGCACTGTTGGGAAGCCGAGCACCTTTAGCCAAGGTGCGGGAATCGTACTCAGCACCTTCAGCGCCATCCTTGCGAGAGCGCTCCCTCCGAACTGCAGAGATAGCTCCTCCACAGATCTCTGAGCTAAACCGCCATCTGCATCCTGCTCTAGCAAATCGCCTAGCCGCACCTTCCAGAGCCCTTGCGCCACTTTTTGTCCGCCAAGCGGGGTTGTCCCGTTTAACAGAAAAGCTGTGCTGAAAGCTATCCTCTCCTGCAGGATCTCCTCCCTAGTCACCGCCGTCGGACGTGCACATAGCGGGGACTGCAGCAGGCTCTCGCACGTCTGCCTCCACCGCACACTCCGCCCCGTCCAGTGTTTCAGTAATTTCTCATGCGCCGTGAAGGTATCCGTTCCCATCGGTAAGTCCGCCGCCTGCGTCATGATGTACTTCTTAAGACTATTGGTTTCCGTGAGAAAAAGCCCCACCCTTCGTGCGGCCAGGCAGGTGAGTACAATTCCGGGGTCCCGCACTCCAATACCGCCGGCTGCTCTAGTAGTGTGTACCAACTCCTTGCTCCATAGCACAAAGCCCCTGGCTGTCGTCACTTTGTTGCCAGAGATGAAACCGTGTAGCAGCCGCGTAAGCTCAACCCACACCTCTACAGGTGGGGGATAAACTTGCGCTTGGAAGGCCACTATTGGGGTGATGTAGCAGTTCACCACGGTCGCTCGGGCTGATGTGGTGAGATACTTCAGCTGCCATTTTAACAGTTTCCCGGACATGTGTTCCAGAGCCTTCTCCCACGTCGGCAGGCCGCTTCCTGAAGGCGACACCCAGACCCCCAGCAGCCTCTCTGCTTCGTCGCCACCGGCCCACTTGAAGACAGAGCTGCTATCTGTCGCGCCAAGATTCGCCCCGAGCGGTAAGATCACCGATTTGCTTTTGTTCGTCGCCAGCCCAGAGACTTTCTCGAAATCGTCTAACAACTTCTCCGCTTTTTTTATCTGTTCTGCTCCCTGCAGCGCTAGCGTCGTATCATCCGCGTAACCAAGGTAGCCAAGACGCTGCCCCTCTCTGCTGAGCCCGAGCTCCTCCCTCTCCACCGCCTGAGCCAGGGGCTCGACCGCACAGAGAAACAAGTAAGGCGCCAAGGGACACCCTTGACGAACTCCGGATATCACGTCCATCCCCTCTCCAAGCCACCCATTAACCAGCAGCCTCGTTTTCGTGTCCTTGTGCAGCCCTTCAATCCACTCCACGAAACGGTTTGAGAACCCCATCCTCCTTAGAACCTGAAACAGGTAGTCCCGGGACACGGAGTCGAATGCTTTTTGAAAATCAACGAGGAGCAAAAACCAGTCCTCATTTCCGTTTTTCGCTGCATCGATCATGTCCGCCACCAGCGCCACTGCATCCGACAGCCTTTTGCCTGGTAAAAAGCCGCACTGTTCGGGTGAGATGACTTGGTGCAGAACCGCTTTCATTCGATCCGCTATCACTCGTGCCAGCACCTTGTAGGAGAAGTTTAACAGCGTAATTGGCCTGTAATTGTTGAGCTGATCCCGTTCTCCTTTTTTGTGCAGCAAAATTGTGACTGCCTCCTTGATTTCTACCGGGAGCGTGGCCGACTTTTCAAAGTCCTTCACCATGGCCATGAAGCTGCTTCCCAACAGGTCCCAGTGAGCCTCAAAAAGCTCTTTCGGAAGCCCGTCGCCACCAGGTGATTTGTTTTTCGCCATAGCTGCAAAAGCTTTCTTGACCTCCTGCTCCGTCCAGTCCGCCTCCAGAAATTCCGCTACTCCCCCTTCTAACCGTCTTGTCAGGGACATATTCCAGACAGAGAAGTCGGAGCGCCGGTCATTCCCAAAGATTTTCTTGAAGTATCTCGACGCCGCTTCCAATACCAGCTTGGGACCGGATACCGAGACCCCCCCCTCGTTGACCTCCATGATTTGAGTGCGCGCTTTCCTCGCACGGACTTTCGCCGAAAGGTGAGGCGAGGCTATCTCCCCTGTTAGTTCCTCCTTTAGTCCCGCTTGCAGATGTAATCTCTCCCTTCTTGTCGCTTGGTACTCTTTCAGTTGCAGCTCTCAATTGCAGGTGCAGTGAACCATCCGAACCAGTAACTACAAGCTAGCATAGGATTGAACATCTCCACAACATACAACGCCCACTGCAGACTTCCCTATCCACTCCGCACCCAATCACGCGGCGACAGGTGGCAGCATCGCAACGGCGTCGGGGATGGTCAAAAGGAGGAAGGGCATCTTGGTGAACTTATAGGCACGAGTGTGTGCGTGGAGGGTACTAGAAATGCAAGCACATTACACACGAATAAATCATGTTCCCTGACTTGAATTGCAGGCCGCAGCACAATCTTTCACAGCACTGTGCACATCCAAACCTCAAATCTACACAAAACAAGCCCATTCATCCATTCCTACTCGGCGCCGACTCGTTTAAAACGCGGGGACCGGAGCGGCAGCGGCAGGAGGGGGGGCAGCAAAGGCATCAGGCACAGCGACTGGGAGGGCGAGCTTGTGCGGCTTGGCGAGGAAGTCAGTGAACTCCTGGAAGGGCGTCTTGGTGAACTTGGTGGCGTGCCAGAGGTCGGGCGTGAGGAAGGCGTATGTGTTGAGCAGACAGGCGAATGTGGCCTGCAGGAGAAAGAGGTGGGGGAGGGGGGAGGGGGCGGGGGGGGAAGGGGATAAAGGTGGGGATGGGAGGGGAGGACAGAGCATTAGTAACAGGAACAACATGCCAAGGGTGTGAACTCCTGGGAGGGCGAGCTTGTGCGGCTTGGCGAGGAAGTCAGTGAACTCCTGGAAGGGCGTCTTGGTGAACTTGGTGGCGTGCCAGAGGTCGGGCGTGAGGAAGGTGTATGTGTTGAGCAGACAGGCGAACGTGGCCTGTTGGGGTGGTGAAAGAGAGGGAAGGCAAGGGGAATGGAAGGTAAGGAAAGGGACAACAAGGCTTTGTGGTGTGCCAGAGGTCCGGCCTGAAGTTTAGCGTATGTGTTGAGCACAGGTGGCCTGTTGAAGAGACGGAGAGGCTAGTGATGCATGGGCAACTTGGTAGCATGCTACTTGTTGGTTGTGAGGAAGGTGTATGGGGAGGTGCAACGGGGCAAGAGAGGAGATGGGAAGGGTGGGAAGGCGGGAGGTTGGGGACAGATGAAGAAGAAATGGGTTGTAATTACAAGACCAGAGGTGATTAAGTGGGAGAACCCACAGTCTTGCACCCACCACGCTGCACAGACCCCCACTCCCTCGCATTGTGCTGCACCCACCCCCTTGCACTCCCCTGCACCCATCTCCCTCAACTGTACCCATCCCCCTGCACCCATCCCCCTGCACTTTTCACGGAGCTGCAGGGACCGCATTGCAGCAAGCCCGTGCAGCAGTAACTAATCTAACGGCCCCAGCGCACTCAAAAGCTAATGAACGACTCGTAATGTAAGCGCTTTTTTCTCCCGGGCTATCTGGGACGAATCGGACGGCCCCTGGCTCTTCAGAAGTAGTCTGACGGCCCCTGACTCTTTGAAAGTAATCTGACGGCCCCAGGCTCTCTGGGACTAATCTGACGGCCACTAGCTCTCAACGAGTACTGACGCCCCCTTTGTATATCTGAGACTAATCGAACGGCTCCAGATTCTCTGGGACTAATCTGACAGCCCCTAGCTCTTTGAGACTAATCTGATGGCCCTGGCTCTCTGAGAATAATCGGACGGCCCCAGGCGCTCTGGATTAACCTGATGGACCCTGGCTTCCTGGAATTCCTGCACGCTCCCTGCACCATCCCCACTTCAATAAGTGTCAGGCACTAGGAGCACCGGATCACCAGCAGCAGTTCCTCCACACGCGCGAGGAATTGGGAGGGACAGAAACACCACCACAGCACCACAGAAACACCACACTCTCCAAACCACGACGCCACACTCATCACTAGTAACACCACCACAGCGCCACACGAACTGTTGTCTCAACTCAAAAGTCGGCCAAACCACGACGCCTCATTAATCACTACGGCCTCGCATTCCCCACACCTTGCATCTCCGCAATACGCGACATGTACTGGGCGTCTGCACCTGCTTCTGCCACGACTGCCACGTCTATCACACCGTTATCTCTCGTCCCTTAGTCGCCACACCTAGCAAAATACGAGCCCGCTACAGAAGCGAGAAATTGCACTCCACCAGACGGCCCATAGCCAGAAAACCTTCTATCGCTTCTGCCCGGCACCACCAGTGTCATCGCCTTTCGATGAAGGCGTCAAGAAAATACTCCCGTCACTTAAGAGGCGCCTCGAAACGCGTCTATAATCTACTTCGGTCACCATCACCGTCACCGTACGAGAGAACCTGCCTTTGTTTCGCTCAGACAGCCTACTACCGCTGCGAATCGTCACTTCCGCAACTCTCGCTGATACCGACTTCGAAACCCTGAACCTCGTCCAAGTGACCACCACGCCCAAGACGAAGCTTCCAGAAGACTTCCTCCCCTTTTTTCCTTCCCCTTCCACTGCCCGAGGTCGCCCTGGCATTCTGCTATACCGCTGCCAACGATCCCTATAACCCCCGTCCAAGTAAACCTTTCGCTATTCAGACACAGATATTCCCAGTTTATCTCACCTTCACGAAGTTTCCAAGCGTCTTCGTGGAGCCGCGGGACGAGGTAAAGACGTCCTCGATACCCGCGAACTGCAGCACCTTCTTCGGCACGCGAGCCGCCACAATCCCGGAACCGCGAGGCGCGGGGACGAGGCGCACAGTGACCGAGCCGCACTTGCCAGTGACCTTAGTAGGCACCGTGTGGGGCTTGCCGATCTTGTTACCCCAGTACCCGCGTCGCACGGGGATCACGGAGAGCTTCGCAAGGATGAGCGCGCCGCGAATGGCGGTCGCGACCTCCTTAGCGCACTTCACGCCGAGCCCGATGTGACCGTTGCAGTCGCCGACGACGACGAACGCCTTAAAACGAGTACGCTGCCCGGCGCGCGTCTGCTTCTGCACGGGCATGATCTTCATGACCTCATCCTTAAGAGTCGGCAGAAATGCCTCGACTATCTGATGCTCCTTAATCGGCAGCGAAAAGAGGTAAATGTGCTCGATGGACTTAATCTTCCCCTCCTTTACGAGGCGGCCTAGCTTCGTCACAGGAACCCATGCCTCTTCCTTATCGTCCGAGCGTCTGCGCCCGCGCCCGCGGCCCCTGTCCCCGCGGCCCCTGTCGCCGCGCCCGCCGCGGTCACCGCGGTCGCCGAATCCGCGCCCGAATCCGCCCCTGTCTGCCATAACTGTCAAATTCGCCCGAAAGACGGAGCGAGACAAGGGAGAGAAAGTGAGGAAAGGAACGAGGGAGGGAGGTCGAAAACCCTAAAAGCGAAGAGGGTGAGCGAGAGAGGCTTGGCGGGGAGGAATAGGCGAGGGGAACGCAGAGGGTGTGCGGAGAGGGGGGAAAAGCGCGGGGAAAGGGTTGAGAGGGGGGGGGGGGGGAGGGGGATGCTGGGAGAGGCGAATGGGTGCACACTGCAGCTGGGAGCAGAGAGACTCCTCAGAGGACCGCAAATTGTACATCTTTGTTGCATTTTCGAGTACTTTTTATTCGTAGCGAGCCGAGTCCTTGTTGCGCGTACGACTTCTGATTTCCATCAGCAGCCCCGCCACCCAGCCGCACTAAGTTCCCGCAAGCAAGCAATATTAGTTCCCGCAAAGCTATTATATTTGCGACCGTTTCTTGTTGCCGCGACGCCTTGTCACCACTTGTCGCAGAGGCTTTGGATCGTTGACAGCGTATATAGAGACAAAAAATGTTTTCTTAAACGATTAAGCTACGGTTAGGCGGTTAGGTCAAGACCGCGAGAGCTTGTTAGGTTGAAGTCCGTCGTCCCAAGGTTAGACTGCGACATGGACGACGATCCTATGGCTGGCGACGGCGGGTCGCTTCAGCGAATGCCGTCGATTCACGTTCGCGAGATTCGCGAGCGGTTTATGAAGTTCGAGCTTCGCGATACAGACGTGTCTGTCGCAAACGTGCTTCGCCGAGTTATGATGGCCGAAGTACCCACCATCGCCATCGATCTTGTCGAAATCGCGAACAACACCTCCGTGCTAAACGACGAATTCATCGCACACAGGCTAGGCCTCATCCCATTGGTCAGCGACCGTGCGATGTCCATGAAGTTCTCTCGCGACTGCGACGCGTGCGACGGCGACGGCCCGTGCGAGTACTGTGCCGTGGAGTTCACTCTCAACGTCAAGTGTACGGGAGATGAAACGCTGGACGTTACAACTCATGATTTGATTCCATCATCGAGTGATGACAGTGACGACGCTGTCCTTCCTGTTGATTGCACGAGACGAATTGAAGGGGAGGACGGCGAGGAGAAGTAAGTAACCAGGTCGAGGCAGGAGTGGATGTAAGTAAGGGGAAGAATGACTAAGGGCAAAGGCGGGATTTAGCCTAGCACACTGCTTATTAATTGAGCCACCACCTCCACCCCACCCCCCCCCCTCCCCCACTCCCTCCCTCTCTCCCTCCTTTTCTGTTGCTCATTGATGTGTGTAAGATTTTCTTCGATTCTATTCCAGGCTGCATTTGCCCAAATTGGCACAACTTCCTTGTGCCGTCAGCCGTTTACAGGCACAAGCGTCATGCCATGGCCTTCTGAACGCCCAATGGTCTCCTCTTCTCTCCAACTCCCCCCCACACAATCCCTTGCCCCCCACCCCATTTTCCTGGAAGTGCCTAATCCCCTCCGCCCTCCCATCTCCTTCCATTCACTTACGAGGAATCGTGATTTTAAATCCAAGGAATGGCCAGGAGGTCCGCCTGTGTTCTCTTCCCCCACCCCCACCCCCCTTGCCCCCACAAACCTTTCCGGATCCTCCCTTTTCCTGTCATTACCTCTTCCCCAACCCCACCCCTCCCTTTCCCCTCCCCCTCAGGGGAATTGTGATTCTAAAGCTGAGGAAAGGCCAGGAGATCCGCCTGCGTGCGATCGCGCGCAAGGGCCTGGGGAAGGATCACGCCAAGTGGTCGCCGGCGTCGCCAGTGACGTTCATGTACGAGCCAGAGATCACCATCAACCACACGCTCATGGATGGCATGACCCTGGACGAGAGGCGCGAGTGGGTGGACTCCTGCCCCACGCAAGTGTTCGGTATCGATGAACATGGACAGGTGAGGTTTTGGTGCGGCATACAGATGTGCTCGGTGCGGCATACACATGTACCTGGTAGCAACATGTCTTACAAGTCGTTTTGGCAAGAGGTTGTTACAGTCCCCTTTTTCCAGCCTACCAGATGTGTGGAAAGCGTGTCATTGTTTAACTTGGGCCATGGCTGTCGTGGCTCTTCCTGTTGGTGATCATGTTTCAGGTTTATGTCGAGAATGCGGAGCTGTATGCGTATGATGATGAGGTAATTGTCAAAGCAGAGGAGTTGGGCCGACCCGGTCTTGTGGAGATTCGGCCACGTCAGGACAGCTTCATTTTCACGGTTGAGTCGAGCGGAGCTTTATCTGTAGAGAGAATGTTTTTGGATGCCATAGAGGTTCTTCGGCAAAAGATTGAGGGAGTGAGGCTGTCAGGGGACGGGGATGAGGGTGATGATGATCATTTGGCCACGTTTATGCGCCGTGGTTAGCTACTAGGCTGTTCTAGCTTCTCATGGGATGCATAATCGTAAGCTTTTATGTATGAGTGTCTATGGTTGCAAAACTGTACCCTATGCCCTACTCTTCAAAACTATCAGGCGAAAGCTACTGTCATGTTGTTAGTGGAACGTAGAGCACCCCATTTGATCTGTTGAAAGCTCCCCAGAATCCCGGATCTCCAACGCCTTCTGCGGTTCGTGGAACGTCGGTCAGCATCCTGGGCACCCCCAGGTGCACCATTCACCACAAGTATTTCCACGTGTGCTGCCAGCAAGTCAAAAAGATCCCGTTGAACCTGGGTGACTGGCCCTGACAGGCTGCACTCTGCGAAAGTCTTTCATTCCATCCAATCAGGTCGATCAGGTTTCGCCCCCGTTCAGTGATCAACCAGTCCTAACATTGCACCTCAGCACGCAAAGCCGTGGCTGAGTAGGTGTAGGTAGGTGCCTGTTCGGCTCTACCCCTGCTTGTGCGATTTCTTCTGCAGTTATTATGTCACAGTATTACTGTTAGCATAACTGGTATGTATACTCAAATCCTCCATGGCTTCACTCAGCTCCATTGCTTCGTCGCGTAGTCGCTCCGTTTCTGAAATCTCCCACTTACGTCTCAGTGAGTCACAGCTCACGACGCAGAGACGTCCGCAAGTGCTTCCTCGTCTTTCGCCTCTTTGCCGGCCACTTCTTACACTGCTGTTCCTCGAACCCCTTTGAGAGACTTCTGGAAACGGTTGTTATTTACGGCAATACATTGTTGTTTCCTCATTCGCACCTGAGCAACTTCGACAAAACGCTACGCCGCTCGCATTGCAAATCTTAGATTATCGCCTGTTTGGGACAGACGAAGTTGAAGTGGAACGAAGTCCGCGCTTGAGTTATTACAAACCGTGACCAGCCGGCAGAAGCAGAAGCAAGCTAGGCAGCAGTCTGAATTTTTTGCTTTAAAGGCTAGCGACCAGCACAGCAGGCGCATTCACCATGGTTCACGAGACGCGGCCCGAGCTGCACCACCCGCCGGCGCCGCACCACGAGAACGCGGCGTGGAAGGGTTTCGTGGAGGGCGGCGTCGCGTCCATGGTCGCCGGCGTCGCCACGCATCCGCTGGACCTCCTTAAAGTTCGCATGCAGGTGCGTCGCACTCATGCAAGGTCCATCGCTCCAGCATGGAGGTCGGTCGTACCCATGGTTGCATATCAGCGATTGCATGCCCTACCTCCCTCCTCCCTCCTCCCTCCTCCCTCCTCCCTGCTTCGCATCCAACCCTAAGATCTTCCATTCCCCCACTCGTTAATGCCTTTCTTTCAGCTTTTAGGCGAAGGTTCTGCAAAAGCGGCGGCGGGGGCAACGGGGGCGCCGGGCGGGGCGCTGCGGGTGGCGGCGGAGGTGGTGCGGGAGAACGGCGTCAAGGGGCTCTTCACCGGCGTCTCTGCGACCATGATGCGACAGGTGGGCAGGCCGGCTTGAAAGAGGTTGGAAAATCACCAGATAAAGAATGGGGATGTAACGTTGTGCTCCACGCCGCTGACCATATTCGCGCGTCCCTCTTCAGATTCTGTACAGCGCGACGCGCATGGGGATCTACGACGTCTCAAAGCAGAAGATGAAAGAATAGCCGCACATACATGTCTCGCGGGCTGTAATCCGTCCTTATCTCGCCCTCTCTCCGCTCTCCTCGGATCCCCTGCCTCCCCCTCCCCCCCCTCCCCCTGGCTCTTCAGATTCTCTACAGCGCGACGCGCATGGGGATCTACGACATTTTGAAGCACAAGATGGAGGAGCAGCCGCACATGGCGCCGGGCGGGCTGCCCATGTACAAAAAGGTCGGCGCGGGGCTCGTGTCGGGCGCCATTGGCGCGGCTGTTGGCAACCCCGCTGACATGGCCATGGTTCGCATGCAGGTGCGTGGGTGAAGAGGGGTTAGGAAAGGTGCATGACGATACATGGCGCCGGGTGGGCTGCCCATGTACAAGAAGGCCGGCGCGGGGCTCGTGTCGGGCGCCATTGGCGCGGCCGTGGGGAACCCTGCTGACATGGCCATGGTCCGCATGCAGGTGCGCGCGTGTGTGCTGACGTGGCCCTTGTCTTGGGGAAATGATCTTTGTCGTAAGCCTAGGAGGCTCCATCCGCACATGCCACTCACCTGCCCCAAGTTACATCATGGCTCTGCACCACGTCATGTTTCCTCATCTCCCCTCCATTCTCTCCTTACGAGACGATACAAAAGTCATTCAAGTGGCACCTTCCTCGCCTGCCCCTCAACGGCCCATATGCAATCAGATGGGCGATTGCCGCTAGCATAGCAGCGCAACTACAGCAACGCAGTGGACGCCAAGCCATCTTCCCCTCCTCCCTCCCTCCTCCACTCCCTCCCC